GAGGAACGGGTTACTTTGTTAGTGTTATAATGGTTACTTACTCGATTAGTTGTTACTAAATCGGTTAGGGGTTACTCAGTTAGTGGTTACTTGGGTGATTAGGAGTTATTAAGTCAGTTAGGATTACTAAGTCGATTAGGGCTTATTCGGTTAGAGATTACTCGCCAATCAAAGGTTATTTGGTGTGTGTCAGCCGACCACACGGTGTGTTCAACTTTAATAAAAAAGTTATGCTTGGAAATTTTTTTTGCTCCACGATGTCTATAATTAAACATTATAACTTCTTTTATAATAAGTTGATTTATATATAAAAAAAATTTAAAACTTGTATCATTGTCTTTCAATTGACAAGTACGAAACAAATTAATTCATCGTCCTTTTGCAATCAATTTTTGATGAAATTTTTAATCCCTTTCAATTTTCCACTAATTTATCACGTTCGCTACTCACCACACCACCCCCTCAAATCAAAGCTCTTACAAGTAAGAATTGGTCATTTTTTGTACGGAGCACAGTAGATACGGAGTAGTTTTGTAGTTGCTCGTTAGACTATTTAGTCAATTAGGCATTAGCTTCTACTACGTATTAATTTGGTTGGTACTAATAAAATATCTATGATGCTCTTATTTTGACTAAATCTAGTTCTTCTTTACGCTTTCGATATTTTATTCCTTCATTATATTAAATCTACTTGTTTCACTCATTCGGTCACCAAATAACACTATATCTTTTAATTATCTCAATTTTATGCGTAAATAGAATCCGTAATATCAATAACAAATATTTGAAAATGAAGTAAAGCCTTGTTCTTGATCTGTTTTGTTATGTTGAATCAATCTGCTCTACTCTACAGATATTTGCTCTACTTTGCTTGTTCAGAAACTCAAAAGAACATGGCCTTAGGATGCTCTATACACTCTTTACAACCATTGTTGTACCTATTTTCATTTTTTTTTAAAAAAAAAAAATCGGAGTACATATCACGTGTTTATAGGTATAATATAGAGTATGTTATTACACTAACATATTTTATTTTATTTTTTAGGTAAGAATAATGAAGTATATGTTAGGGCAAAAACCTTTCATAAATCACACATGAGCCTTCATTAACAAGTTAGGCCCTTTAATCCTTTATGAATTTGAATGGAAAAGTGAGGAGTCTTGATCCCAAATTATGCTAACATAGTGATAAATCCCATTTGTTAGTCGTTGATCTACTCCGTATCAATTAGAGTACAATTTAATTAGTACAACATTAATATATCAATTATTAAAAGATATTTATGAACATATTTAATTTTTAGTGTGTGTAAGAACTATAAATGAAACTCACGTACCAAGATGGGGCCCACCTAGAAATCTAGATTTCTGGTTCATACGTACGCAAACATTATTAATAATTCAAGCTCATGGACATCAATACACATGTAAGTATTCAAACATGGGTAAAGGTGGAAAAAGGACTTGAGCTTTAAAAAACCCTACACTAGAAGAGTTGACCGAAACGGCCAACAATGTGTGAAAACATTATCCATTTTTATTTTATTTATTTAATTCCCATCTATTTATTTGTACTCCTATATTGTTTCATGAATATTGAAACAATTCCATCTTTGACATTATTGTTATTTGTAATTAAGAAATTAAATAGTTATATGGTACTATTATATTCATCTCGATTTATATATTTTTATAATATCTTAATATACTACCTCCGGTTCAAATTACTCGCAACTTTGGAATTTTTTATATCTCACAAATAATACCCCAAAGTTGCGAGTAATTTGGACCGGAGGTAGTAATTTGTTTATAATTTTTATTGTTATATACTTTATAATTAAATAATTAACACTACCTCTATTTCTTATTATTTGCAATAAAAGGGTATTTATTAAGAAATAAATATTTTTTTTTTGTTATAAATAATATAGTAAGAAATGGAAGTTGTATATTTTGGATTTCAATTGTGTTTTGGAAAATGTAATTTTTATGTTACAATAGAGCATCTACAATAGTTATGCATGAAGACCTGTTAGAAATTTCTAAATAATTGTTAGCTACATGCTAGCCATTGTGGAACAACAACCTCTTGTAGCTAAGCCAAATTACATAACTCTATAGAGTTATGTAGTTACACTCCACCCAATGCTATTATTTTATTTATTTATATATTTTATGAATTTGTTTGTTTATTTATTTATTATTTTATATTCTTATGGTTTATTTATTACAAAAGAATTTAGCTTACCATTATAGCTTAAATCATATAGCTTAAAAATTTATGACGTGATAACCCAAAACTACATTTACATGTAGCTAATCGTTGTGTATGCTATGATATTATGGATGTAAAGGAAATGTATCTTAAAAAAGCAATATTTTTTTGTGCATTTGGGAGCTCCATGAATTGATGAAAGCACAAAATATGATTCTTATTTGGTGAAACCCAATATAAGGCACACTATCACATGATGTAGTGGGGCCAAATGTTTTTCAATAAAAAAATAAAAAATAAAAAAATAAAAATTCTGAATCGAAATCCCCTTAATTATCTCCCTTAACAGCAAGTGGGGACTTGAATTTCATTCCAACCCAACCATACACCTTTCATTGTTACAAAATTTATTAGAATGGATCGATGTTACGTTGTTCATTTAACACCAAACTAAACAAGAATCTAGCCATCTAGTTGCCTCACGATTTATTACTATCCATTTAAAGATATGTTGACTCCAATTCTATACTTTTTATTTCTTCATTAATTTGATCATTTATAGCACGACTTTAATAGAAGTCCTAAATCATCAGAAAAATTGATTTGCAAAGAACTACGAAGCAGTATTTTACAATCGATCATTTATAATTCATGTTTCAAGTGTTGAAGTAGGTATGTACTTCTTGCATCTTTAGCTAGAATTTCTTTTTATATTTTTATTTTTAAGACAATCAACATTCAAACATGAAAAACTTTTATAAACAAATGGAGTATAATATTAAATAATTTTGCTTGTCTTCACAAATGATAATAATTTTGAACTACTTCTTCTCATTTATTTTTGTTATGCAGAAAAATTTGTAATCAACGCAAATATAAAATGTAGGAACAAATTGAAACATATGTTACAAACTTAAAACCATACACTTCACTACTTTAGTACTACTTCCATTTGTTTAGGATTGTTGGATATTTCATTTGGTGGATCTTCTAAATGACCCTTAGATTCTATACCGCTCACAACAAATACAAAAAGAAATGAAAAAAAAAAATACAAATCTTTAGCTATTAAATAAATAAAAATAAAAATACAACCAGTTATCAAATTTAGGCCATGGTCTACCGATAAAAAGAGTCTAATAAAGAAAAATTCTGGTAAATTCATAATGTTCTTCCCAAATGAGCTATTATATTGTTGCATCTCAAATAATTTTGTGCTGAACCTGCGTCATATTATCGTGTCGTGTAAGAGTTTGCCAACATTGCGGAGCCACTTATCAAACATGCATGGACCATTTAAGTTTTAATGTCGTAGTATAATGAAGAAAAAGTTAGAAGGCAGCTAGCAATATTGTAACAAGGAAGCAAATGACATTGCCGAAAGGAAAACATGCCTAATAATCTAATATGGCTCCAATAATGGAGCAACCCTTAGCTTTAAATATTATGATACACAAGCTAAGATTTTAGCTTGAGCATTTCCCTCTTGATCAAACATTTCCAGCTCAAATTAGGTCACCATCTCATTAAATTCCAACAGTTATTAGGGAAAACAAATAAAGAATAATGAATAAAAAAAGGAATAAAAAGTCATACTTGTTTTGCCATAATAATGTTTGATGTCTGTAAAATCCCATCATATATTCCGTCAGAGCTTTCCCCCAACAATAACAAAAAAAGCAAAAGCATGACTTCACTTCTCTTTATCAAAAATTACTCTTTTTCTACTCCTCTGTCTCCGTGTGTGCATGATAGCTCAGCTTTACACTCTACCTTTTGCGACTCCTTCCTCTATTCTTTTTTTAATACCAGTATAAAACACTTATTGAAACACGTTAGTATGTGATAAGTGTAACACTTTTTATACGCGGAAGAATCTCCTAAAATCGAGTGAAAACTGAAAAGCTTTAACCACTTGAATTATCTCTCACTCTCATAACTTTAATCTTTTAATTAGTACATATCTTAGTATTCTATATTCATCATCACATACACGAGTCCTTTTTTTAAGTCAAGTACTTAGAAGTTAGAAGTGTAGACGTGTAGTTTTACTTACGTATTTGTACCGTAACCCTAGAAATTTTGGACTTTTGAACTCCAAGTCCAGTCCAAATAAATTTTGAACTCTGAAATTTTAGTTCGAATCTGATCCAAACTTTTTCTAGCCCAATCCAATTCGATAAGTTTGGATCGGATTGGACTTTGGACTTTTTCCTAACCACTTATTATACCCATAATTAATTGCTAGTGTTTTTCCTTTCAAGTTGTAGGGTAGATTTATATTATGTCCCCTAACTCCCCTTACATCAGTAACATTTTGGAGTCTCAAAATCCTTTTCTACAGAGAAGATAAGTTACTCATTTTTTACTGGATCTTGTGAACTTAATCCGAACAATTGCAAATTTAATGTGATTTTCGGCGGGTGTCTATTGCTTGAAGAATTCACCATGGACGATTGTGATTGGGATGGTGGTGGATCTTCACCTTGCTAATAGTTCAATACTGTTGTGCGATTATAAAACAGCAAAGACATGCCAGGAATCCTTGGTACCAGAAAGCGGATGCAGAAACCGAGCAGCAAAACATGGAGGCAGCTGCATCATTTTGTACGGAGTATCAAATTTTCAATCAACCCATTTTGCACAAAATTGGTAGTAAAATTCATGTGATCATGTCTCAAGGAATCTAGTCAAAAACAACAATTGAATATTTTTCTAATTAAGTACTACTAGTACATTATTAGATCTCTGTAGATACTTTTTTTTTTCTCTCTAAAATGCACACTTACAAGAAGATATAGTTCTACTTGTTTACTCCAACGCCTTTTTAACTATTTTACAGAAACTTATTTATCAAAAGAGATACTAATTGCAAGATAATTATTGCTACCTTTATCCATTACCGGAGTTGATCCCTCCCCGCCCCCAAACTTTCGAATCACTCCATTTTTCTGCCCTATAAACTTCCCTGGGGAACAAAAAAAAAGGATAAATATATGATCTAATTACTATAGGAAGAAGTTCTAAGATGCAGGGAACTTTCAGGCATGAGAAAGCATAGCTAACACAACAGCTTCACCGTGCCCGGGTGAAATCCCTGGTAAGAAAACCCTAGACTCTCCCAACAGGGGAATGGGGTGGATATGAGACATATCTTGCAGGAGCTTCCCCTTGATATGATGCCTTTGTTCGCATAGCAACCTCAAAAAGGCCTGCCTCATTACTGATTTTTTCGACACTGCTGCTCGGTTCTGAGATCTCAGGGGGTCTTCTACTGTCTATAAATGATATAGAGATTGCAAATGCTTGTAAAAGTGAGAGTGATGAACTGAATTCCACCGAGTATATTCTTTTCTTGAATGGCGCCAAACTCAATACCGGTTGGTTATCTTGCCCCTGTAAAACAATGTTTTAACTTTCAAGTTAATGCTCAATTTATCTCAAAAAAAAAAAAAAAAAAAAAAAAAAAAAAAAAAAAAAAAAAAAAACACTAATGCTCACTTCACCCATGAGGGAAAAAAGATTTTATTTTTAAGATGAATAAAAGTTCAGAATGCAAACACAAAAGTACACAAATCAATAAGGATCCTGCTACTGCGATGGTAACGGGGTTTGGTGCTACACAACACAACCCATACCCCCTAAATGATCCAGGCTGCTTTTAAAAGACCCTTAAAACATCATGCCAATAATCATATTAAACTACGACCCCAAAAGGTCATATATACAGTGCAAAGACGGAGTGAAAGGCAGGAAAATAGTTACCTGGGAGAAAATTTGAAACTTGTCCTTGTTCAGCAACATTCCAGAAGAACCCATTTTCCTTTCATATTCTTTATGATTCGTATGCACTCTCAGCTGACAACCCAAATCCCATCCACCACAATCACATGATCCACCAGACCTCCATCTCTCGGCTAGCGTAGATATTTCTCCTTTACTAGGTACTGTATGAACACCACCTGGAAGGATGACAGTTGTTCTTAAGTTCAGACTTAAGCGTGATTGCTGATGCTGTAGATTATCACTGGAGTCAGCAGATCTCATCTCCTCCAAATTCTCTCTGGAATCTTGTAACAAGTCTAGCCAGTTATAGCTTGACTGGTCATCTTTACTATCATCTTCAGTGATGATTTGTGGAAGCTTCACAACAATGGCTGCCAGCTCATTAGTTGGATGAAAGTCAGTAGCATACTGATCTCCATGCCCAACATCCACTGCAAACAGATCAAACTCTCTGGTGATATAATTACCCGCATGGCCATGCTTGGTAAAGAAACTCGGGGAATCTGAAACCTTCATTTGTGCCACAACATTTGGAACATAACCATGACCATCGCCTTTCCCTCCTTGATTAAACCAATTCCCACTCCTTTTCTTAACTTCACGGATGGTAAAGAAAGTGTAAGTCCAGCTATGATGACCTTTTCCTGGAACACTAGACTTCCTCACAGTGGCAGCTAAAATGTTGCTTTCATTGTCGATGGCAAAAGTAAACAGAGGAAGTCCATTCTTAAATGATACCTGCAGAAGAGCTTGAAATGATGACGAACTATTTGAATTATGATGGGCATCACTAGAACCCATTTTATTACCACTGGAAGGCCTTGATGGCTCAGAGCTGTTCGATGCTCTGGGCTTAAGAAGGGGATCAAGCAGCCTTCTTAAAGGACTAGACCTACCTCTATTACTATCAGTAGACAACTTATCACTGCAAAAATTATCAATTGATACAGAAGCAACCACCGCCTCTGACCCAGATTTCGCAACAGTTTCTTTTGAACTTGACCGAAGGGGTGAGTTATCTCTGGAACCGGCACTCTTAATCATCTTTCCCATTGCAAAACTTAATCTGCGAATCGGAGATGGGTTTCTTGCTTTCGGAATGGACTCTGAACCTTTTCTTGTGTCCAACTCTGGAAAAGGCTTCACTGCAATTGCACTCCTAGACCCAGCAACTGGCTTCTTCTCCTCCGCATTCCTGCTCCTGGATGGGCTGCTAAGCATCCTAGCAGGAAATGATAACATATGTGATGCTTGTGGGGCACCTTTGACCCCTTGTGCATTGTTCTTGGATGAACTGTCAGCTACCTTAGCTGAATGAAGTGACATATTTGACTGTTGAGAAGGCCTTTTGACCCCATCTGGAGACTTGGAACAAGATTCAGATGGCTCAGACTGCTTTCTGTGTTCATCTTTAGAAGGAAGCCGGGCCCCAAGATTGTTTCCACCTAAAATGCTCCTCTGACATGGCTCTACTGACAATCGACCATCCACGGTAAAATTAGACATGGCAGTCAAACTAGAGCATCTATGTTCCGATGGATCCCTAGGCATGTCAACAACCCCTGAATTCTCCCTTCCGGAGCATTCTTGATAAGCAGCACTCAACTTCGTTTCTTGTGACCTTATGGTTTCTTTGGCAGATTCCATAATTTGAATCTTTGTTTTTCCTTTCCAAGGCGCCCCAACCTCATACTTATTGAAGTTTTGTTGTTTTCCGATTTCGGAGACAGATTTCAAGTCAGGCTCTTGTCTTCTACTTGGTTGTACAGCTTGTACTGCTCCAAAAACCCTTTGTTGTCTGCTCAAATTGTTGCCAACCGTATCAGTTGAATCTTGGAATTTCAGGGTATTTCCACCATAAACCTCGGAATCTGGCGAAGGTCTCCCCCCTGCATATACCTTGTGGGGATGAGATTGAGGCACAGGAGGTTGCATCCTTTGACGAGCTGGAGAGCAGCTGTGACCTCTTCCAGAAGAAGATTTAGCATCTCCAACATGGTTTTCCTTTGGTGAAGCTTCCAGTGGAGATTCAAGGGAGAGACGGTGCAACCTTTGACGAGCAGGGGAGCAGCTCTGACCTTTGCTAGAATGGGTTGATGAGCCATCTGTTGAAAAAAGAGAGGTGGTGCTACTAGATGGAGAGCACCCACTTTGCTTTGTAGGCAACTGTTTTTGGCTATACCGCCATTTTTCTAGGCGCCTCCAGTCAAGGACACCAACATTCAGTCCTTTCTCCTGAAAATTCTTTCCTTTCTCCAAATAACTTGGTAAATTTGACATGTATCTGACCAGTTCGTCCTCTTTAGAGATCCTTTTATCTAATACCTGACTTTGTTGGCTACCTACATATCTAGGCAAGGAATCATCTGGATTTCTAGTAATCTCGTGATGAAAATCAGCATATGACAATTTGTGTTTATCAGACAACAATATATCACGCAACTTTGTACCTTGACGAGTACGAGGAACAAAATTAGTCTCTGGAGACGTCGTGCATCTCCGATCCCTAGAAATACTCCTAATATCACCAAGATGGTCCATAAAACATACAAGTCAGCACAAGTCAGATCCACTTAACAAGAAGTACATCATTTGGTCATGTCCAGCAATCAGTCCCACATTCTGCCATTGTTCTCAACTGCACATTGACATTTTCAAAAGCAAAATACATGAGCAAAGGAATAGGTGAACCCATCTAAATTAAGACGTGTATTACTAAGAAGGCAATTCAAACCTGTACAATTCAAAATTACACAATTAGAGATTACAAGTACTATCTAAGTGGTATAGCAAACATTAAGAGTTACTACTCTGTCCTTGAAATCAGCTATGACAAAAGAATTAGGTGATAAGCACCTTTCACAAGAGTCAATACTAAGATACAATACAAAGATGCTTTCTCATTGCTCAAGCAATTTCCTAAGCCATACCACAATTCGAGTTATTTATCAGCTACAGCTGAATCAGCTTCTGAAAGGGCTTAAGTTCACTTAACACCACGCTACACTACAAGCATATTGCGAAATACTTCATACTCCTTCAGTTACCTTCCAAATTTCTTGGTCACAAACATTGAACATACTCACCAACCCCTTTCCATACTAAACACCGCAATCAAAGGCCATAATCTCTTCATTTCTAGTCATTCGGAACCATGAAATCATCACACTCCGATGGAAAATGTACTATCCTCGAGTACATTATACAAGTCAACAATTACAAATTACTCATCTTTCTCAATTTCCCACTTCACTAACTCTCACCATGAACATGCCCACCAATATCTGTTAAACATCATCTTTATGACAAATTGACCAAATCATCATAAAATTGCTAAAGATTAACAAAAGGTTAACAAGTGATTAGGTAAAACTATACCTGAAAGTACACAAATACCCACCACTACAAACACAAACACAAAGACAAATAAAATGGACCTGAAGCATAGAAAACGTGTGGTCCATTCAAACTGATGATGATAAACTCATAATTAAAATTAAAGCAAACTTCTTTTTTTTTTTTTTTTTTTTTTTTGAAACATGTACAAAATGACAAAGATCTCCTTGCCCCCTAATTTGATCTTAGCTACCTAAAATCCACTATCATTTTCTCAAATTTAAAATCCCAATTAATCAAGAAGCACAAATTATTAAAGGGTACAAAAAAAAGTTGGAAAAAGAGAATATATGAGATATAATTAGAAACTACAACTCTATATTACTATATCCTATATAGCAATAACTACTGCAATTATTGTAAAATCATAGGAAAAAAAGAAGCTTCATTTTCTAGATTCCAATTTTAATGCATCAATGCAATTAATATTACTCATCAATTGCTACCAAAACGTGGAAATCTATCAATGTTCCAAGGTTCCAAATGTCATAAATCTTTCCGAGCAATAGACCGGCAAGACTTTAACCAACTAAGCTAGTCGACAACCCGAGTTTCTAATGTCATAATTGTAACTTAGTAACGAAAAAATTAGGTTGGTCTAATAAATTAAGTTTACTAATCAATAATAAATCTATCCCCCGAAAAAAAAAATGAACGGCTAAAAAAGAATCTAAAACAAACTCGCATATTTCCTGCCATTATTCAAGGAAACTGAAACAACGCCTAATTTTTCCCAGATTACATCATTTCCAGATTAAAGAGCTTCAGCAACAAACAAAAACAAAAATAAAAATGCAAAAAAATTACAAAAAACAGCCAAAAAATCAAGAAAATTAGTTACCTGAGTAAGGAAGTTGAAATGCAGAAATATGGGGGAGAAAGAGGTGTCGGCAAAGTAGGAAGAAAAGAGGAGAGAGAAAATAAGAAGAAGTGAAAAAATGGGAGAAGGAAAAGCTGGGAAAGTGTGATCCAAATGTAGCAGAGTGAACTGACAATGGAGGAGAGAGAAAATGAGTGAGTGAGTGAGATGTGAGAGAGAAGGAGAAGATGAAGAAGAACTGAAGAAGAGAGAGAATCTGAGGAAGTTAAGAATATCGGTTTTACTTTTTTATATTTTTACTGGACTTTTCTCTTTTTTTTTAGAAAAATAAAATAAAATGGTGGGGAGATTATAGATTAGTGAGAGGAAGAGAGATCGGACGGATGAGAAATGGAGAGAGAGAGATCGGAGGGTGGAGAAAAGGAGAGAGAGATAAGCGGAAAGGTTGTGTCAAAGAAGGCGCGGGGTTTGCGTTATGGGACCCTATTTTATCGACTCTTGCCTCTTGGGGATCACTTTCCTCATTTACTTGAATTTGTTTGCATTGTTTTATTTTTAAGAAACCATGTACACTCTTAATTTGTGTCATCTTCACTTTGAAGTTATAAGTTTAGATGCCCTATAAGATAATACGTTGCAATAAGAAATTAGGGTCTGCTCTTTTCAGCTTAATTTCAGTTTAGTTCAGTTCTGCTCTGTTCCAATCAATTCACTTCAGTTTGAATCCTAATTTTCTGCTCACATAATCAATTCATTTAAGTTCTGTTTTGCTTCAACTAGTTCAGTTCAGCTTCAATCACTTCAATAAATCAAAATAGGCCCTTAAGGATCACTTAAGTTCAATTACAACCCAAGTAAGTTTATTAAAGTCTAGTAAATTAATAGAAAATGTTATACATAGTCTTTATGGCTACATATAAGGAACTAAAAATGAAAATATAACATTAATTGAATTGACTTGTGCGATTACCAAATAAGAAAGGTTATTAAATGCTTATTCATAACTCTAAGGAGTACATATAGCAATACTCTAAATTAATATAGTATAAGATTGGATATGTTTAAATAAAAATATTAGGTGAACACTCAGCATAACACACCCTAATTAGTGTAATGTGTGAATTAATATCTTACATAAACAAATTCTCAAAAAAATTCCCACATTAAACACAAAAATGAAAAAAAGCATACAATTTCAACTCCCTTAATCCTCCTTAGCATCGATTACACACCCTCCTCCATGTCAATAAGACTATCCCATATGAATATGCCTGTGTTCACTTTCTTTGAAATAAAAAAACATGGCAATTAAGACTTTATAGGACTTGTAAATTTTGTATATTGTTTGGTTAGCAAAAAGTTGGTGATATGGGAAGAGTAAAACTTTTTAGGAATTTTGAGTTCTCACACAATCACTTACCCAATCCCCTTTAGGTAAGTAGAAATTTTGAGGGGAAATTATTTCTCCCATTATTAACCAAACAGTTTTAGAAATTTCCAATGAATTTGAGTTCTCACACAATCACTTACCCAATCCCCCTTAGGTAAGTAGAAATTTTGAGGGGAAATATTTCTCCCATTATTAACCAAACAATTTTAGAAATTTCCAATGAATTTGATTATATAAATTAAATCTCATATATTTGCAATTCATGAGAAATTCTAATTCGCTTGTAAATCAAACGACGCCTTACTTAATTAAGAAAATATGCTTAAGACAACTAATTATATAAACAATGTATCATGTATGTCAATATGGGACAATCTTTGAGAAACAAATCAACAAATTGCATGTGTCAACTCTACAATGAAACCTTATTTTTCTTGTTTTCTTGTCTCAATGATATTGTCATAGTTAGCTATAATTGGCTATACTAATGGCCTAAATAGGACTAGTGCAACGCAAAAATGGTGTGATTGACAAATGAAGATGTAAATATGTAATGGATCGATGGGCTTGGTGGTGGGGCCATAATATGCGATTTTGTGGAGATTTAACTCAGTGGGAAGGTTAGATTATTTTACAGTCTATCCTTGTCTTTTCTTTCGTCCAACTTTTCCCATTTTCTCCCTGCTCTTATTATTGGAATTTATCGTTCTTACTTAGCTATACTTGTGTGCTTAATTAGACTAATCATATATATTTAGCTAGCTTTATTTAGTCAATGACAACCAATTCGTGCCAAATTGCCTATTAATTACCTACTCTTATGTTTATTGTCTGTTTTCATTGATGTTGATTTTGTTTTTTTGTTCTTGTTAGTAGGCTAATTAAGTGCATATAATAATCGTATAATCAAACCTTTTGTGTTACTATGTACTTGCACAAAAAATCACAACAATGCAAGTAAGTACTTTAGTGCTAGGCTTTAGCCACTAGTTAATGATTGTGAAATAAAAATCTCAAATTTTTTTTGAAGAAGATAACCAATAACATATCTAGTTACAATTCTTATAGAGCATATAAATCCATAGTTTTGGACTGGAATAATGTCAAGTTATCAACACATTAGATAATAATAAAGTCTCAACTGTCTCTTATCAGGTGTTGATTAATGGTGCTCCCACTGAAACTTTTCGGCCACATCGGGGTTTACGGCAAGAAGATCCCTTGTCTCCTTACTTGTTTGTGCTTTGTATGGAGGTTCTTTCTGCCATGCTTTGTAAGGCTGAATCGAAAGGGTTGTTTCAGGGTATTAAGATTGCTCGGGGTGCGCCGGCTATCTCTCATTTGTTTTTTGCTGATGACTCTCTTTTGTTTTTCCAAGTCTCCCCTTCTTCTTGTTCTCATGCAATGAAGGTGCTTTTGGACTTCTGTAGTCTTTCAGGTCAAATGATCAATTTACAAAAGTCTTTTGTTAAATTCAGTCAGAATACGCCGGAGGATTACCGGGAGTTCTTGTCGGGTTGTTTGAATCTTAGAAATGAGTCTAGATTGGGCACTTATTTAGGATTGCCTGTGGATTTGAGTCGTAGCAAAACTTGGTTTCCTCCTGGATAAGGTGGCTGCTCGACTGGAAGTATTTGCTGCTCTTCAGTTGTCCCCTGCAGCGAAACTTGTTATTATTAACTCCGTGCTTATAGCTTCGTTCAACCACATTTTATCGGTTTTCAAGGTTCCAGATTCCATTTGCTCCAGGATTGACAACTTGCTGGTCAGATTCTGGTGGAAATCTTCGAGCTCCAGTCGTGGAATAGCTCTACGTTCCTCTTCGCTAATTCACCTTCCGAAAGGCTTAGGGGGTTTAGGTATTCGCAGCATTGCTCCTTTTAACTCTGCCTTATTAGCTAAACAGAGTTGGCGTATAATTCAATCTCCGCAGTTGCTTGTTTTCCGTCTCCTTTGTTCCAAGTATCCGGCCCTCTGGACACTTCGGTCGACTCAAGTTCTCCGCCCTTCATGGGGTTGTAGGAGTCTCCTTGCCGGTTTGTCTTCTTTAGGGCTTGGCATGGAAGGTTGGTTCAGGGCTAAGGTTCGTATTATGGAAGATTGTTGGGTACCAGGGGGCCCTGTGGTGTTCAAGGAACTTCATTCGGAGTCGCTTTGTCCGACTCTTGTTTCCTCTTTAATTGTTCCGCGTTCTTACGCGTGGGATGCTTCTACTGTTCATGGCCTGTTTGATTCTGATACAGCGGCTAAAATTCTCTCGCTGGACAGGCCGGTGCGTTTGATGGATGACTTTGTCTATTGGAAGTTTACTAGGGATGGTGTTTTCTCAACTAAATCTGCTTATGCTAATATTTGCGGGAATGGTTCTATGGGTAATGCGGATTCTCAATCTTTTCTTCCTTGGTGGAAAAAATTTTGGGCTATGCCAATTTTGCCTCGCTGGAAACTTTTTGGTTGGAAATTGTTACACAATGCTTTGCCTTTAGCAGCCATTCTCTCTACTCGAGGGCTTCCTATTGATCCTACATGTGCTTTTTGTCACTCTTCTAAAGAATCTCGTTCTCATCTGTTTCGAGATTGTTCTGCTATCTGTGGTATTTGGAGATCTGGTGTCCTGGATATTAGATGGGATTTTATGCATCTTCCGCAGTTTGAAGACTGGGTAACTCGAACGGTGTCCCAATTGTCAAAGTTCCACAATTGGGATGGCATCTCTTCGTTCTTTGCTATATTGTGGGCTATTTGGGTTACTCGCAATCAGTTACGGTTTCGTCAGGCTGTTTGGTCACCGGGATCCATTGTCCACTTAGCTACTGATTGGAAGACTCGTAGTAAGAGTGCTCAATGTTGGAAGGCTTCGGTATTATCTTCCAATGGGGTTCCTCCTGTGGCAAGTCAGTCAGGGCAGCTATTATCCTTACAGGGTTTATCTGCTATCGATTCCACTGTATGTTTGGTTATAGATGGTGCTTGGGATTGTGTATCGAATAGAGCAAGTGCAGGGTGGATAATTCGGGAGATTGATTCTTCACAGGTACTTGGGGGTGGATGCCGTGCTTTTTTTGCCGCCTCGGCGCTGCAGACGGAGTTACAGGCTTGTTTATGGGGTTTGGAGTATGCTCAGCATAAGGGTTTTTTGAAAATTCGCATATACACGGATTGTGCTGCTCTGTTGGTTGTCCTTCCTCGTAAGGGGAGTATGGACATTTCGGTTTTCTGGCTCGTTCAGGATTTGTGGGTTTCTATTCAGAGTCTCCTGGTTTGTCAAGTTCGTAAGGTTCCTCGTTCCTGGGTGTCTCCAGCTCACTGGTTGGCGGGTTGTGCTCGTCTTCGTTAGTTACTGTATTTTGTGTTTTAGTTTTTGCCTAGGTTTCTTTGTTGTGTTTTTTTAGCACTGTTGTAAAAAAAAAAAAAAAAGTCTCAACAAGTACTGGTATACAAGAATACAAATCTTATTGCATTTAATGTACCAATTTGCTCTCATAATGATACAAGTGTTATAATTTTTAAGTGTTTTAGTTGATCGAATTTAAAGTTGGCTTTGCAAGAGTATATATAGGACATTGGATAAAAGAGAACTAAACGAAGGAAAAGATCAAGATTAGTGAGTACATGAGATAAATTTTTTGGTTCTACTAGCTAATTCATTATTATTATTATTATTATTATTATTATTATTATTATTATTATTATTATTATTATTCACTCCGTTTCACAATAATCTTCTTGGAATCTTGACTTTTTTAAAAAAGAGAGGATCTTCTATATTTCTCTTATTCTATAAGAACAAATATATTTATGTGGTATCTAATTTGATTCGCCTTGGTAAATAAATTATTAATATCTAACTTTTATAATTTTTGCTAATGTAAGATTAAAGATATTTACGGTCAAATATGAGTAAAAATTTACATCGATTTACAAAACATGAACAAAATATAGCATAAACGAATGTTACACCAAGTATGCAACAAGAGGGAATGGCGGTGCATGGAGAGCACATGGAGTATTGACGTTAACAAGTAACAACAACTCTAAAAACAATGCGATTCATAGTCCTCTTCGTTTGACAGGATCTAGGATCATACATCATGTACCCTAAAATCATATGCTTTTTGAAAGAAAGCAAAAGATATGAAATGATATTAGGATATACACTTTGACCCTTTTTAAAAGCTGGATCCCATTAAACTAAAGGAAAGTAGTCATTCAAATTATTA